GAATGATTTCTCACTTTCTCTGGTGAATGAATGAATAAAAGGAAGAAAGGTATAAAGCAGGCAGAAAACCACACAGCCAAGAAACTCTACCCAAACACTGAATGCATTCATTTATTTCATATTCCTTCCCATTTCATAAATGAGGAGATGAAGGCAGAAACAGTAAGCCTAAGGCCACGTGGTTGATAGCAGCATTAGTGGGGGTGAGAGATGCGGGTGGGAAGACATCAGTGTCTCTAGATTTGTTTCAAAATAAAACCCCGTCCAGAAAGATGACTGTACAAACAAGTCTCTCAAATCCCAATCCGTTGATCAGAAAGGAAGGCCGCAGAGTTGTCGAGGATCCACCCAACATACTCGGAGGAAGGCCTAGCCAGAGGTGAGGAGGAAATGCCCACAGGGGGCTAGACCAAAGGCAAGGACCCTCCACCTACTCTCTGTCCCACACAAGAGAGAAAGAGAACGGGGGTAAGTGGATTCCACAACACTGCAGTTCCTCTGGGGCAGCTCGCTTACAGAGCACTACCCTTGTCGCTCTTTCCAAACAATAGGCTACAGGGGAGAGGCTGAGGCAGAATTTCCCAATGTCTTCAAAATCAGAAGAAAGACAGGTAGACGCCATTGCCTTGGACAACTCTCCAGCACTTATCACCTAGGCATTCTCACCTCCACCGTCAATCAGGCAGCCCAGGAGCTGGATCCTCCGCTGGTCCCAGGCACAGAGGTGGGGGATGATGGAGCAGATATCTAGGTCTGAGAAGCGGCAGTCTTTGATGAGACAATCCCCCAGAGGGGGCTCCCCGCTTACTTTGCGGGTCAGCAGCAGAAGCACTTCGGGCCATTTCTGTTTCTCCAGTAAGAACTTCATGAAGGCGTTGGCACAATTTTGATTAATTTCACAGACCAGGTCTGGAGGAATTTCTGTCAAAAATAAGAATAAACCACACTTCAAAAAAGGGTCATAGGATTTCTCTTCCTCCCCCAACTACAACTCAATACATACATAATTAACAGTACAGATCAGTATGTTCAAGCCCTGGGGAAACTGCAAACAGGGAGGTTAGAAATACCCTCATGGAGAACACTTAAGCTGGCCAAGGAGAAAGCAGAATGAAGATGGACAAGGCAGAACAGTTGTGTGTGAGACGTGTTACTGAGATCAAAAAGGCTACATTTTTGCATAATATTAAGCTAGTACCCTGCATAAGAAACACTGAAATACAAGTAGATACTTTACAATAATGTGAAAGTCAAGTTGTAAAGAATCGTGATTAACTATGTATCAATGACATTGTGTGTAAGTGTTTCCGTTTGCTCTGTGCTATCTGGAGATAGGATAATGGCTATCCCATTTCAAACTGCTAGTAGTAAATCTTCAGGGACTATTTTCCCCCCAAAAGAATTATATATTTAACTCTATTTATGATGATGATGATGATGATGATTATTTTAAAATTTGCTATAGGGTACATGTGCTCACCAAAGACAGAGAGGGAGAGAGAGACAGAGACAGAGAGAGACAGAGGGAAAGTGAGAAAGCAAGCCACCAGGTCCAGGACTAGAACTGCAGTTGGCCATGTGGGAGTCCAGGGCCTTAACCACTATACCATCTGCTGGCCCTGGGGGGTAGAAAACTTTTTTTTTTTTAGAGGTTTTTGCTATAGGGTGTGTGTGCTCGCCAGAAAGAGAGAAACAGAGAGATAGAAAGTGAGAAATCACCACCCCCCCAGGGGGGATGGCCATGCCCCAATCCCTTCTCCTCCATTCTCTCGGGATCTTGGGCACACACGCACACGTGCCCGGCGTGAGTTTAAGCCACTGGGCCCAGGACCTGAACCATGGTCGACTACGTGGGAGTCCAGCAACATAGACATTATGCTAACTTCTGGTCCCATGGGGGTAGAAAACTTCTAAAATAGATCTTCAGTAAGTAGATTGCCAAATTTAGCAAATACAAATACAGAATACAAGTTACATTTGAATTTCAGATAAGCAACAAATACATTTTTAGTATATTTCACACAGTATTTAGGACATACTTATACTGAAAAAATTATTCATTGTTTATCTGAAATTCTAATTCAACTGGGCATTGTGTCTTTTGTCTAGCAATCTCACCAATAAGAAACCAGAGAAGAACAGAAGGGGAGAAATCAAAGATTACCTAAATAAGAACAACTTGATTTGCATTTGCTAGTTTTGCTTCCCATCTTTCTCTGAAGTCTTCTAACATGAATAATGTTAATAGATAGACTGCTCATTTTAAAATAAGAAAAAGTTAAATATAGGCTAGTCTATCATCCTATTACAAGAATTAGAATAGAAGTGCAAAAGGCAAAATTTTTTTTAATAGACATTTGCAATTTTGTCTCCCAGAATCTACTCATGCATCTTCTGGAAACACTTTCCACCCCCGACCCCCGCACACTGTACTTAGGTGCAGATAGGGCGGGACAGCATATGCTTTGGGCCTAATCCAATAAAGACTCTCCACCTTCCTGACCACGGTCTTAGTTCAGAGGTATACAATGTGATCAAAATGGAAGCCTAGGACTTTGGTTCAAACCATAAAGAGAGAGAGAAAGAGAGAGAGAGAGGGAGAGAGAGGGGTCCACAGGTTAAAAAATGCTGGACGCGTCAGAGGTTAGAGACTGGGCTCTCGTCTCCACAGAGCCAGAAGACAGGTAAGTTGAAAGACAAGAGATAATGGGTCCCCAAGGCCAGCTGTGTCTGAAGCCCTCTCTGACATTTGTATTACGAGAGTCGGGACCAGCAGTTAGCGTAATGGCTATGTCGCTGGACTCCCATGTAGTCGACCGTGGTTTGAGTCCCGGACCCAGTGGCTTAAACTCACACAGGGCACGTGTGCATGCGTGCCCAAGATCCTGAGAGGAGAATGGAGGAGAAGGGATTGTGGCATGGCCATTCTCCCTGGGGGGTGATTTCTCACTTTCTGTCTCTCTGGAGAGTGCATACACCCTAAAGCAGAAAAATAAATGAATAAACTCTCAAAAAGAAAAAAAAAACTTTAAAAAAGTCACTTTTTTGCTAATTTGAAACAAGTTAGGTCTATCACTTTCAACAAAAAGTGTCCTAACATATGGTCAATTAGGACAGAAAAGGAAAGAAAGGGTAAAAGTAAAAGAGAAAAAATTGTTAGAACGCTAGGCAGATTAGAGTCCCACCAAACCCTGGAAAATAACGGAAAGAAGAACTTCAGGAAGACATAAAGAGTAAGGAACAGAGGGGAGAAAAGAAAGTCACCTCTCACTAAAGTGAGGGAAAGAATCCATACCCACACATACAATCCCCCACAGAAAAACAGAGAGCGTACAAGACACAAAGGACGTACAAGACATAGCATCCCCTTCGGTGGCCTCACATTAGATCTTTACCAAACACCAGATATTTTTTTCTTTTCTTTTTCTTTTTTTTTTTTTTGAGAGGTTTTTGCTATAGGGTGCGTGCGCTAGCCAGATAGAGACATAGAGACAGAAAGCGAGAAATCACCCCCCAGGGGGGATGGTCACGCCGCAATCCCTTCTCCTCCATTCTCCTCTCAGGATCTTGGGCATGCACGCACACGCGCCTGGCGTGAGTTCTAAACCACCGGGTCCGGGGTGCAAACTGAGGTTGACTACATGGGAGTCCAGCAACATAGCCAATTACGCTAACTGCTGGTTCCCTTTATTTTCACAACCTGAAGTATAAACAGGGACATGGGCCAGCGGGTGGCATGGAGGTTAAGGGCACTGGAGTCCTACATGGCTGACCGCGGTTCGAGTCCTGGATCTAGCAGCTTGTTTTCTCACTTTCTCTCTTTCTCTGTCTCTGTCTCTGTCTGTCTCTCTCTCTCTCTCTCACTCTGTCCCTCTCTGGTCGAATTTAAATAAGTAAATAAAGCTAAATAAATTCATTCTTTAAAAAAACAAAAAACAAGGACAGTCTTCATGGGTCATGGGTCAAATAACATTAAGCTCAAAAAACCAATGGCTTCCTAGATGTGGTTTGCAAAAGATGTCTGCCTTTAATAGATGTCACAAAAAGAGGTCCCATCCTAGAGTCTGGGATGTGCTGTTGATCCCTGACCCACTCATATTCAAGTGAGAAAGGCCAGGCAACCTAGTCTTGCCTTACCCCCTGCTAACAGCTAATGGGTCTGAGCATTTCATGTGTAGGATACTAGACTAAGTGCTCTGCACCCATTATCTGAGGAAGACTGTTCCCAGCCAAGACAGGAATGAGGAAATTGAAGCTCAAAGAGGTTAGGTAATTGGCCTAAGGCTACAGATCTAGAAAGTGGTAGAGCCAAGACTTGAATGCACAACTCCAAGCCTTCAATACTCTGGTGTCAGCATTCCTTGAAAAGCATTTTTGATTCCTCTGGCCATGCCTTCCTGCATTATCTGTGAAACTGAGACCCTTCAGCCTTATGAAATGTCAAGTTTAAAAATGGTAAATTTCACCTACTTAGAATGTGTAGAGTATTCCCCAATTACCAAAAGGTCCTTTCTGGAAGTTTCCTAATTTCCCCCATAAGGAGAAAGAAATGAACATCCAATTCTGTAATAGCTTTATACTCTAACATTAGCAAACAGCTCCAGAAGAAAAAAAAATCATTAAAAATGATTGTATATGCGAAGAGCAATGCTAAGAGTATATGTGAAAGACTAATAAAAAAGGATGCCTCTAGATACAGCATTTAGGGCCTAAAGTTTAGGGTATATGACAAACCTTCTCTAGTGCTTGAATGTTTCATGAATACATGCATTTATTTTTTACATTAATTTTTTTAAATGTTTTAAAACAGTTTAAGCAGTATAAAACCTCTTTAACACAACTGCATATGCTGGGGGGGGGGATTACCTTGCAGAGTAGAAAGGAGGCGCAAGAACCTCTGCACCACTTCGTGTTTCAGAAAGTTTTTATGCAGTGACCGGCCTCCCGAGTTCAGATACTTCACCAGCTGCTCGGAGGCCTTCCGGAAGCTGTCACCGTCACTAGCAGGTCTGTCACCGTTGCTGAGTCCTGCGAAACCACAACAGATAAGCTTGGCCTAAGTGGTTTTCAAAAATAACTATAATTCTCTACCCCTCCGTGCAGCCACATGTAGTTGACAAAGGAAGAATCAGAGCACCTCGGCCAGACACTCTGAGACAGAGAACACGTGTATGGTGTCACAGTGTCTGGGTGGCACCTTGGTCTTTGCCTCCTGCTGTCATCCTGAAATGTTGTTAGCACAGAGAAAAATAATGAAAACTACAAAAAACGAAGATCCTTTGTAAAAGAACTTCCTTCACCATCAACTAGATTGTAACTTGTTTATCTCCCTGAACCATGCCATTAAAAGCTTTTGGGGGGCCAGCAGGTGGCATAGTGGTTAAGGCACTGAATTCCCACATGGCCAAGCACAGTTTGAGTCCCGGACACCCCTGGCTTGAAAATCACATCAGGGATGTTTGCGTGCATGCCCAAAATCCTGAGAGGAGAATGGAGGAGAAGGGACTGTGATGTAGCCATCCCTCCTAGGGAGTGATTCTTCACTTTCCCTCTCTCTGTCTCTCAATGGTGAGTACAGGCCCCCTGTGGCAAAACCTCAAAAAGAAAAAGCAAAAAGTTTCCAGGAGTATCATTCTTCCCCCAGAAAGATTAGTTTAATGTGAAAGTCACATGAAAATGAATAGAAACATTCTAAGCTTAACAACAGAGATGCTTAGATACAGCTATATAATAAATGCATGATTTTATGGTTCAGACTAGTTATGAAGGTGGTTACAGATCAGAGAAAGTTCCAGACATTAAGAACAAACTCAGAATAACTCATCAATAACAAAAACACATAGAAGAAAAGTTGCTGAATATCAATAAATGGTATCATACTGGTAGATAGAAGACTGTGGATGACTTCTTTATTAAAACATACACTAATGTGGGAACCAGCAGTTAGTGTAATGGCTATGTCGCTGGACTTCCATGTAGTCGACCGCAGTTCGCGTCCCAGACCCGGTGGCTTGAAACTCACGCCAGGCGCGTGTGCGTGCGTGCCCAAGATCCCGAGAGGAGAATGGAGGAGAAGGGATTGCAGCGTGACCATCCCCCCTGGGGGGTGATTTCTCGCTTTCTGTCTCTATGTCTCTCTCTGTCTGTCTGGCGAGCGCACGCGCCCTATAGCGAGAAAAATCTCTCCAAAAAAAGAAAAAAAAATACACTAATGTGTAATTACAATAAATTTTTGTTTTCATGGAAAACTATATTTTCACAAATCTATAATTATACTTAATAAATACATGTGTAAGCAGATTTGAAACTAAAATTAAAGCGATCTTGTGAAACAACAGTACCCAGAAGTATTAGAAAATAAATAAGTCGTTTAAAAAAGACGGATTTCATTTTTGCCTGAAATCTTCCTTTCAACTTATTAAAGTCAAAACAGGTTTTATTACATACAATAATATCAATTTCAATTTACATACCCATCCCATTTTCATCAAGGAAAATAAAAATGTATAATAATAAATATGTGGACCAAGACTAAATGACCAAATCACAAACCCATTCCTTTTTTTGGAGGAGAAGGGATTGCAGCGTGACCATCCCCCCTGGGGGGTGATTTCTCGCTTTCTGTCTCTATGTCTCTCTCTGTCTGTCTGGCGAGCGCACGCGCCCTATAGCGAGAAAAATCTCTCCAAAAAAAGAAAAAAAAATACACTAATGTGTAATTACAATAAATTTTTGTTTTCATGGAAAACTATATTTTCACAAATCTATAATTATACTTAATAAATACATGTGTAAGCAGATTTGAAACTAAAATTAAAGCGATCTTGTGAAACAACAGTACCCAGAAGTATTAGAAAATAAATAAGTCGTTTAAAAAAGACGGATTTCATTTTTGCCTGAAATCTTCCTTTCAACTTATTAAAGTCAAAACAGGTTTTATTACATACAATAATATCAATTTCAATTTACATACCCATCCCATTTTCATCAAGGAAAATAAAAATGTATAATAATAAATATGTGGACCAAGACTAAATGACCAAATCACAAACCCATTCCTTTTTTTTTTTTTTTTGGCAGGTAGGTTTATATAAAGACTTAACATTTCCTTTCCTATAGTTCATAAATTTTTCTAAAAAACACCAAAAACATCGACTTAATAAAAAGGAAAAAAATGACATGTACAGCCTTCAAGGCAATACCCACGCCCGCATTAACTGAAAGCAGGCATCATCCCGGAACTGAGCACAGAGCAGAGAGCAGCTGGGCATCTCTGAGGACCAGAGAGCAGCAGCTTCAGAGGTCTGGATCTGAGCTCCCTAGGAAAGCCAAGGGCTAGAGAATGGGAGGGCTCCCAGACAACTGTGCACAGAACAAAGGCTCCAGACTTGCTGTGCTTGGAAATAAGGGAAGAGCTGAGCAGCAGCAGCCATTAAATAAAGTGCACACGTTGCCATCTAGTGGTAGCCAGCAAAGGCGTGTGAGGACGGTTCTGTCATTCTGACTACTTAGGATTAAAGCTTTGCTCCTTCAAAGTGGTCCATGGCATCCCCTGGCACCTGATGAGAAAAGCAGAATCTTGGTTCTGCCTTGAACAAACTAAATCAAAAATTCGCACTTTAATAAGATTCCAAAAGGGGGACCAGCAGTTGGCGTAATGGCTATGTCACTGGACTCCCATGTAGTCAACTGTGGTTGGAGTCCTGGACCCAGTAGCTTAAACTCACACTGGGTGCATGTGCGTGCGTGCCCAAGATCCCAAGAGGAGAATGGAGGAGAAGGGATTGCGGCCTGGCCATGCCTCTGGGGGGTGATTTCTCGCTTTCTGTCTCTGTCTCTCTCTGTCTTTCTGGCGAGCACATGCACCCTATAGCAAAAACATCTCAAAAAAAAAAAAAAAAGAAAAGAAAACCTAAATTAATTAAATAAATAAAACACATTCTCATTTCAAAGAGGTTCGAATGTAGGGGGAAAGTACAACTTGCTATCAATGAACTCTGAGGCCTAAGCAGTCAATATCAGGATAAAATAAAGACACTTCCAAAAATTCCGTAAGTCTACTGTTCATGCCTCTGTGAGAAATTTACTTGACTAGGCACTCTAGCAGATTAATAAAGAAATGTATACAGCAGATAACATGAGCCACAAGAGTCATACATGAGTGCAAACACTACAATAAGCATAAAAATAGATGAGTTTCATTGAACCGAGATGCTTAAAGAACAAAGCCTTCAGGACGTATGGTGACTCTTTCCTATGGGTCCAGCCACGCTACCAGTTGCAGAAAGAAAAATATTTACATAATCAACTACCATATAAATACCATTCATTACTTTTCAGTTTGGGGAATCAATCTATAGAGGAAGCATGAACAACTGAAGATTTAAGGCACGAAATGTAAATGGTACAAATAACATCATTAGACAAAACTCTAACAAATAAGCCTGCCTCAGCTAAGCACTCTGGTACAGTAGCCTGTCAGCAGATGCTGTTCCAGACTGATAAATCAAGAAACAGAGAGAGACAAAGTTTTTCTCTTGCTCTCAGCTCCACCTTTTATCTTGTTAATTATCGCTCTAATTTTTTTTTAAAAAAAGGAAAAACAGTAATTACAATTTTTTCTTTTTTTCTTTCTTTTTTTTTTGTTGTTGTTTATAATACGAATGATTAAGTATATACCGGATGGGAAATCACATTTTGTATGCTGTGATGATGCTTAGGGAAGGAATGTAAATTAAGTTATAAAAAAAAAAAGTTTCAGGAAAAAAAAAATCTATTCAATGACTGCAGTAAGATATATAGCCCCAGCTAGGTGCTACTTTATAGAATGTGTAAAGTTAGATTTGTGTTCGTGGAAACATATATATCACCTGTGTTTGCTATGAAAATATTTAGATTAATTAAGGTCTTTAGTAATTCAATAAAATGTGGGAGGAAAACAGTATCGAAAGCAAACATAGATACCAGAGACAGTGTGGGAGGAGAGTTGGAGATGGCAGAGGGTAAGAGATAGGGAATCAAGGATGGGGGGGCGGGAGCAAAACATACAGAAAACAAGAAATGGAAAATTATTTGCTGACAATAACATGTATGTTCATGTGCTTGATTGAGACAATATATAGTGTACTCTGGATGGAAAATCTCATTTTGTATGCTGTAATGATGTACAGTGAATGAATGCAAATAAATAAATTGAAATATAAAAAACAACCAGAGCTATAAGTGTATTTTAAGTTATTGGCGGGGATTGTTTCTGAGGAGTAGGCTTGGTTTTTTTTTGTTTTTTGTTTTTTTTTTACTTTCCTGTTGAGTTTAAATGTATTTCCTCTTTTGCATGCATGGAAAAAAAATCACCCATACTGTCCAGAGATGGACCTGGAGAAGTTCCCAAAATATCATAGATGCTCTCTAAATAAAGTCTCATTCTAGCTTTCTGAAGAACCTACAAGTTTTCCAAAGACTAGGGGAGTATCACTTCCATCTACATGTGCAAAGAAGAGATACACTGAACCAGCTTTAGCCCCCCCAAAAAAGTTAACTCCCTGGAAACTGTACCTGTTAGGTCCTTAGAACACGCAGCCAGCTTTGCCAAGTGACTGTTGATTTTCTCGATGGCTTTGAAGTTCTTATTCCTCTTCAGGACATCCACAGGGGATCGGGACTGGCGATCCAGCAGAGTGGGGTCTGCCCCAAAGTGCAGGAGCATCTGCACGTCCTCTGTCTGTCCTAGGGTAGGCCAGAAGGAGAAGGAAGAATGATCATGGTCCCTTCCATAAGGAGATGTTCCCAGGAGTGCTCTTCTTCCAGTGTCCTGCCCGAGCACCTGCACTGTCGGCCTTGGGTAGTCCAGCCAACTCCCCAAAGCAGAGTCCTGAGTGGAGTGGGAAGGACAATTGCTTTTAAGAGGTTCAGAAGTGCACTCCTCTCTACCTTTCTCCTCTCTCCCTGGCAATGAGCAAGGAGAGGGGGAATCTGGTTACTAGGCAACAGTTAGAGCTGTAAGGCTAACAGCAAGCTGTGACTTAGGTTTCTTTATTCCCTAGAGAGGAAACAGAATATTCTTCCAGGAAAAAAAAAGCCTATCTGGGGGACAGGAGAAGAAAATGGCAATGGCTTTGGCATCAGGGGGCTTGTTGTCTCTGTTACCACTCTCCAGCCCAACGCTCTGGCTGCCAGCTCCATCTGCTGCTCTGACATATCAATTTGCCAAGCACCGAGGTGTCTCTGGAACCGCAGATGCAACAGTTTTCAGAATGGAACAGGTATATCCCTGGGAGTACTCCAACACTTACGTGGGGACAGAGAGTGAAAGCAATGCGTGCATTCTAACGTGCAGGTCTCCACCTTGCACATGAAGATTGGCTAAAATCCACCCTCTGATCGGGTGCCCTTATGCCAGGTATCATCCTGCTCATGGTGGTCTCCTTTCTCATCCTCCCAGTCACAACTGCCCTTCTCTCCTTGTTCAAAATAAGTAAGTGCAGTCCTACTTCGTACCTGTTGAGAATCTTACTCTGGTAGGCAGAATTCTAAGAGCCTCCAAGGGTCCCGACCCATGGGACACCTTCTCCCAATTCTTCAGTCAAACACAACCCTCTGCTGCTAGATGAGACTTCGCGAATATAATCCGTTGACGTTAAGATACGGAGATTCTAGGGCTGCCCTGGTGTGGTGGTTAGGGCGACTGGATTCCACATGGCTGACAATGTGGTTTGAATCCTGGAGGTCTTGAGAAGCATGTGCATGTGTGTATGCGAGTCCAAAATCCTGAAAGGGGGAGAGATAGAGGACGACAGGGTGATTCGGTGTACCAGACTAGTCACGTGAGTCCTAAAGGTACAGTTCTAGAGGTCAGAGATGGTGCTCAAGGTCAGAGATGACAGAGGTTAGAGATTCGAGGTATGAGAGGGAGTTGATGCTCAAGGAATTCTCCCCTGCTGGTTTTGGAGACACAGGGGACTGCAGAACAAGGCGTGTGTGAGGCCGGTAGATGCTGAGAGCAGCCTCTGACTGACACCTAGCAGGGAAACAGAGACCTTGGTCCAGCAACCGCAAAGACCTGGATTCTGGATTCTGCCACACGCAGGTGAGCTCGAGAAAGGTACAGAACTTCAGATGAGAACAGACATGGAGCCAATGCCTTCATGTCGGCCTCGTAAGACACTGAGCAGAAGACTCAGTCACATCATACCAGAGGGCTGTCCTAAAGGACTGAGTTAAATGGGTGTAAGTTTATGGTGATTTGTTACATAGCATAGAAAACTGGGACCAGCAGTTAGCATAATGGCTATGTCGCTGAACTCCCATGTAGTCAGCCGTGGTTCGAGTCCTGGACTGGTGGCTTAAATTCACGCCAGGCACGTGTGCATGCATGCCCCAGATCCCGAGAGGAGAATGGAGGAGAAGGAACTGCGGTATGGTCATCCCTCCTAGGGGGTGATTTCTCACTTTCTGTCTCTCTGTCTCTCTCTGTCTTTCTGGTGAGTACATGTGCCCTATAGTAAAAATCTCTCAAAAAAAAAGCATAGAAAACTAAGATAGTTACTAAAGTATCCATCCCCAGAAGGTAAAACTCCTGGCCTCCAGGGTATCATCCTAAGAGACGATTAAAATCCTTCTAAAAATCACCTCGATCCGGGACCAGCAGTTAACGTAATGGCTATGTCGCTGGACTTCCATGTAGTCGACCACGGTTCGCGTCCCGGACTCAATGGCTTAAAACTCACGCAGGGCACATGTGCGTGCGTGCCCAAGATCCCGAGAGGAGAACAGAGGAGAAAGGATTGAGGCATGGCCATGCCCCCTGGGGGGTGATTTTTCATTTTCTCTCTGTCTCTGTCTGTCTGTCTGGCAAGCGCACACGCCCTATAACAAAAGCCTCTCCAAAAAAAAATTTTTTTTAATTGAGGTATAGTTCATATGCCATAAAACACATCCTTTTAAAGTGTTTAATATAACTTTATATATAATTAGGAAGCTATACAATCATTACTATCCAATTCCAGAACATTTTCATAACCCCCAAAAGAAATCTCATACTCATTAACAATTGCTCACCATTCCCTCTTCCTCCAGTTCTTAGGAACTCATAATCTACTGTCTATCCCTAGGGACTTCCTTATTCTGGACATTTCATATGAATGAAATCATGTAAGATGTGGGTTTTTGCGCCTGGCTTCCCTCACTTAGCATGATGTTTTCAAGGTTAATACTTTCTTTTTATGGCTAACTAATACTCTATTGTATGGGTATTTTGTTTATCCATTCATCACTTGATAGAGACTTGGACTATTTCCACTTTTTTGGTGCTTATGAATAATGCCACTATGAATAATCATGTACAAGTTTTTGTTTGAGCACCTTTACATTTCTCTTAGGTATAGTCCTAAGAGTGGTATTCCTAGGAATATGGCAATTCTGACTTTTGAGAAACTGCTAGACTATTTTCCAAAGCAGATGCTCCATTTTTCTTGCCCACCAGCAATGTACAAAGGTTCCGATTTTTCTTTATCCATGTCAACACTTATGACTGTCTTGTTAACCTTAGTCATCTTAATTGGTGTGAGTAGAATAAAACAAAGTCCAGAATTAAAGGCATCTTAAACCACTGAGGTCAAGAGAGGCTTTTTTTTAAGAGAAAGATGTTTGCTATAGAATGTGTATGCTTGCCAGAGAAACAGAGAGAGAGACAGAAAGTGAGAAATCACCCCCCCAGGGGGATGGCCGTGTCATAATCCCTTCTTCTCCAGTCTCTTCTTAGGATTCTGGACACCCATGCACTCGAGTCCAGCATGAGTTTTAAGTCACCGGATATGGGATTTGAACTGCGGTCGACTATGTGGGAGTCCAGTGACATAACCATTACGCCATCTGCTGGCCCCAACAGAGACTTTTCAATAAATGGTGCTAAGACACAGAAGTAGCCATATGGAAAGATAAATGTTGACCCTTATACTAAACTTCACTAGATCAGGGATCTAAATGTAAAAGAATGAAATCACACAGCATTAGAAGAAAATATGGGAGAATTCCTCTTTTTTTTTTTCTTTTTTTGGAGAGGTTTTTGCTATAGGGCGTGTGCACTCGCCAGACAGACAGAGAGAGACAGAGAGACAGAAAGCGAGAAATCACCCCCCAGGGGAGATGGACACCCTGCAATCCCTTCTCCCCCATTCTCTTCTAGGGATTTTGGGCACACGCACACGCCCCTGGTGTGAATTTAAGCTGCTGGATCTGAGACTTGAACCGCGGTCAACTATGTGGGAGTCCAGCGACGTAACCATTACACCATCTGCTGGTCCCCTCACCTCCTTTCTACATGCTCACCCTCCCAGTCATGCTGAATTCAGGGGAAAGTTTAGGCCTCTAGGCCTGCCACGGGATGGGATGAGTGAGCTGTGTGGGTTTCCAAATGCCTGGAAGCCCCGCCGGCCGCAGCACTGTCCAGGGAGGAGTGGCTACTTACTCTTGATGAGGTACCCTGGGGTGTGGGCGGCAACCACATGCAGGACGGTGCAGCCATCTTTGTCCTTCTGGTTGATGCAGCCTTTCCACTCGGGCTTATGGTCCATGACCCACCTAAAAAGGTGGTTTTCCTCTGAAGGGAATTAAAATGAATTCCTGATGTTATTTTTATTTTTATTTTTCTGCCAAAGACCACATGCACTCACCAGAGAAGACAGACAGACACAGACACATAGAGAGACAGGTAGAAAGCACTCCTGGTGGGGCACGGTCACATTGCAATCCCCTCCATTTCTCCATCCTGTCAGGATTTGGGCATGCGCGCGCATCTGGTGTGTTTCTCAAGCTGCCGAGGTTGCAATTCAAACCACAGTCAGGTATGTGGGATCTGGATCCCCTAACCATGAGGCCACGAAGCCACCCCTTCTAATACTTTCTACATACGAAGTATCAGCAAAGCAAGTCCAGTGTACCAGTATGAGGTAACGGATGGGGACTCTGGCACATTCCCACCCACCACTAATGCGGCTTGGGGAAGCTCTCGGGAATTTGTACATTAAGGAGCACTGATGGAAAGTTAGTCATAATAATCTTAGATCAGGTTCCCTAGAAGCCTGATCCAAGGATTCTCATACCTGCAATTAACTAAGAAAGAGAAAGAAGGAAGAAAGGAAGAAAGGAAGAAAGGAAGAAAGAAAGGAAGAAAGAAAGGAAGAAAGAAAGAAAGAAAGAAAGAAAGAAAGAAAGAAAGAAAGAAAGAAAGAAAGAAAGAAAGAAAGAAAGAAAGAAAGAAAGAAAGAAAGAAAGAAAGAAAGAAAGAAAGAAAGAAAAGAAAAGAAAAGGAAGAAAAGAAAGAAAGAAAGAAAGAAAGAAAGAAAGAAAGAAAGAAAGAAAGAAAGAAAGAAAGAAAGAAAGAAAGAAAGAAAGAAAGAAAGGAGGAAGGGAGGAAGGGAGGAAAGGAGGAAAGAAAGAGAGAGAAAGAAAAAAAAGAAAGAAAAATGTCAGGAGAAAAGAGTGAGGGAAGCAGGACAGGGCAGAGAAAGGAGCCAGACATGGAAGTGGCTTAAGCTCCCTTCTGCTCCAGCCTGATCCCTTTGGCAAGCTCTAAAGCAGGAATTAAAGCACGAATCTCACTACGGCTGCCATCTTGAGGTCAGGGCTAGCCTTCTGCATCTCCATGCAGTGCCTGTCAGTTAAGAGCTACAGAAGGACCTGGGGGCCGGGGGAGCAGATCTGAGGGAAGATCCCCCTGAGAAGTGGTGCCTGTTGGCAAAGAGCAGTTCTCTGGGTAAGGAGGGGCTACGCGTCCTTAGGAGCCCATACTGACTGTAAGTGTGGGCAGGGGCACTGGTGACAAAGAGGATCGGGCGGAACTCCACAGCCTCTACTTCAATAACCAAGCCAACACCTCTGATTAGAAGACTAACCTACTTCTGGGACCAGCAGTTAGCATAATGGCTATGTTGCTGGACTCCCATGTAGTAAACTGTGGTTCAAGTCCCAGACCCAGTGTCTTAAACTCATGCCGGGCACATGTGCGTGTGTGACCAAGATCCCGAGAGGAGAATGGAGGAGAAGGGATTGCAGTGTGACTATCCCCCCAGGGGGTGATTTCTTGCTCTCTGTCTCTCTGTATTTCTGGCGAGTGCACGTACCCTATAGCAAAAACCTCTCAAAAAAAAAAAAAAAAAAAGAAGACTGACCTACTTTCTACTATCACTAGGACACGTGTTTCAAATCCTTCTCCTAGTCCTCCCTCACAGCTCTTACGATCTAGGTAAGCCACACACCTCTAACAACTCTGGCACCTTTTGTCGCCATGTCTCCTGAGAAGTGAATCAGGGGTAGACTTGAAGGATTGATTTCACAGATATCATCGATAACACAGGAACTAACTCAGAGCAAACTCATCAGGGATTACAGCGCTCGTAACCAAAAGCACATTTCCTTGTGCTCCGGTTTCCTAATTTGAAACTAGGAGAACTGTATTACATTACACTTAATCGAGCTTTACTTTCAAATGTTTTATCCACCAATCCCTGTGTATGAATGAAGTCTTGGTGCCGCCCTGTAGCACAGTGGTTAAGCACTGTGCACTGGAGCCTGATCCCACATGGCTGATCACAGTTCGAGTCCTGGCCCCGTAGCTTGAAAAACATGCCAGACTCATTTGTGGCATGCCCCACATTCTGATGGGGTGGAAAATGGAGGAAAAAATATTGCAGCATGGGGCCACCAGGTGGCATAGTTGTTAAGGCGCTGGACTCCCACCTGGAGGCTTGCTTTCTCACTATTCCACTCTCTCTCTCTGTCTCTCTCTTCCTTGTCAAATTAAAACAATAATAATAACAGGGGCCAGCAGATGGTGTAACAGTTATGTTGCTGGACTTCCGCATAGTCGACCATGGGTTGAGTCCCAGACCCAGTGGCTTAAAACTTATGCCGGGTGTGTGTGCATGTGTGCTCAAAGTCCAGAGAAGAAAGTGAAGGAGAAGGAATTGCAGCATGGCCATACCCCCTGTGGGGGGTGATTTCTCACTTTCTGTCTCTCTGTCTCTGTCTCTCTGGCAAGCACATGCACCCTATAGCAAAAATCACTTCCCCCCCAAAAAAATATAGTAACAATAATAATAACAACAGCAAACAGAATTAAATAAATAAATAATTCTTTAAAAAAAAAAAAAAAAAAAAAGAAAGTTTTCAAAAAAATAAACATTGCAGCATGACCATGCCCCACTGGGGAGATGCCCCTTCTTTCTCTCCTTCTTTCTCTGTCTTTCTCTCTCTCTCCTCTCTCTCTCTCTCTCTCTCTCTCTCTGAAGAGTGTACCCTCTAGCAATTAAAAAAAAAAAGAATAAAATCTCTGTGGATTCCCCAATATATGAAATAGATAATAGTAGGAAAAACATGACTGAAGCAAAAAGAGGGTCTGAGATCTCAAAGCCCTGTCCACCCTACACTTCCCCCCTTCCTAAGAAGACGACACAACCTAGGAGAGGTAGACTAGCCAAGGTCTCTAGGTCTCTTCTGGCAATAAAATGATATGGTAAATATCTTCATGATAAAATAAAATTATTTCAGTATTTAAATTCTATAACCAGCTGATGGAGTTTTGGGGGAAAAAATTAATGAAATTAGCAATCTTTTTTTTAAAAAACACAAACTATATCAGCAACAGCCTATGTTTCCCTTGGGATTTCCCCAGGCCATAGTCCCAAGACCATCTTAGTCAAGCCTTTGGGTGAGAGAGGAAATGAAGCGGGAGGGAAAGACCAAAGTCGCCAGAGGGAAGACCCACAGCTCTCCTGGGAGCTCTGCCCAGCGAAGGCGACCTGTCTTCCTCGGGTCCCAGTGCTCTACTCTGTTGCCAGAATCTGTCTAGGAACATAGAATTGTGTCATCTGGGGCCTCCTGGAGGTACCAGGTCCCAAGGGAGACAACAATGTCGCTTCATCTGAACAGTCAAATTGTTGGAATATTCAAATCATTGAAATATTCTGCATCTGGGGGACCAGCAGATGGTGAGGTGGTTAAGGCGCCAGACACTCCCACATGGCCGGCCATGGTTCAAGTCCTAGACCTGGCAGCTTGCTTTCTCACTTTCTCTCTCTCTCTCTCGCTCTCTCTCTCGCTCTCTCTCTCTCTCTCTGTGTGTGTGTGTGTGTGTGTGTGTGTGTGTGTGTGTGTGTGTCTGGTTGAATTAAAATAAATGAATGAATAAATAAAATTAAATAATTTAAAAATTAAAAAAACACTTTAAAAATAAATAAATAAATATCCCGTATCTGAGTGGCTCTGTGATGGTTTCACTTGAGCTCAGTGGTGCCCCAGAGCCCAGGGCAGGAAGAGTGGCCCGGCAGATGTCTAACTGGGAGAACACTCACTGGCTTGGATACAGAGTCTCATGAGGGCATGAAGAGGGTACGGTCCTATGCTCTCGATACTGGCCCCAATGGAGATGAGCCACTGGACTAACTTGGGCACCTGTTCCATTTTCTCATAAAGCCCAATGAAGACATATTTCTGAAAAATAAAAGAAAAGAACACACAGGAAGAATTATGAGAATGACTACATCAATATGAAACTTCAAACCCCTTTACCCATAAAGTTTGGAATCGGTAAAATGTGGATTCGCTGTGACCCAAACAGAAGGTTATTTTAAGTAATAAATTTGTGGTGTGGCAGCTAAAGGAAATGGTCCCGGATACAAGGCTGACGTGGCCTGATTTGAAACCTTATGTTTCAGGAAACCACCTTACCTCAAAAAGACTTTTCAGTGATAATTCTGAGACGTGGATATTTCTTGGCAGTCGGTCTTTTTTTGCTGACAGAAGCAGAAATGACTGATGAGGGGGAGAAAAACAGAAGCTAGGAATGATAATATTCTTCATTTATGTTATTACAGCAAAAGGTTATTTTAAGCTTTCAAGCAAATAAATAGAACCACAAATCAAGACCCAGCCTGGTGACAGTTAGTAGCAAACTTAACTGCAGTGGTGGAAGCCACATGGCCAAGCATAGTTTCAGATCCCCAGGTTGGCTTGAAAACACGCCAGGTGTGTGTGTGTGTCTAAGATCCCGAGGAGCTAGAGGGCCAGGGAGGGGGATCATGGTATGATGAGACCCAGCTGAAGGTGTGTGTGTCTCTGTGTGGGTGTGTCTTGAATACAAACGCATGCTCTCGATCATAAACAAAATAAATTACAAAAAATAAAATAAAATAAAATAAAAAAACAAAGCAAAACCCTAGACTTCTCACCTTTTTTTTTTTTTTTTTTTTTTTTTTAAGCTGTCTGCAGTTTTAGACTGAACCATGATCAGCACAATCTCTCTGTCTGGTCAACTTTGTGTTCTCCCTACATTTTCTCAAAGCCTGCTGAGGACAAGAACAGCTGATGTCAAGCAGTATTTCAGAAACAACCGTAGCAGTGAGGTTAAAAAAAAAAAATAAGGTTAAAAACAAACACACAAAAAAATCATTCCCAGCCTGGCCTTGGCCAGGTGGTTGAGGAAGCCAGATCCCACATGGCTGATAACATGCCTCACATCTCAGCCTCCACTGCTTGAAAACCACACCAGGCACATGTGTGTGCATGGCCAAAATCCCAACAAGATGGAGAACTGGAGAAGGAATTGTGCTGTGACCACGCCCCTACGGGGGGAGGAGCGAGGGGTGCTTTCTTCTTCTCTTTCTCTCTTTCTTTCAGACTTTCTCTAGTGAGCACACGTGCCCCGTGCCCAATAAAAAAAAAAAAAAGAAAGAAAGAAAACAAAAGTCATTCCCTGAAAAGCTCTTTTAACAGCTTAGCAAACAGAAGACTCAAATCCTTTAGAAATATCCCATCCCAATGTATTCACATTAGTGTCTCATAAGCCCCAACCACTTGGGGCCCACTAGACCATATCAAGCGGTGTGCTAGAACTGGCTTTTATCAGCAGTGGGCTGACTGTGCACATCTCTTCAGAACTCCAACTCCTGTACGATATACTAGCAGCTGGAATCTGGCTATGGTAAGAGTCTTTACACTATGGAAATTGGCAAATGCTAATCAGGATTTTTTCTTCTTTCATTCAGAGAGTCTGCTTTTAAACCAAGGACTCTATCTAAAGTCACTGAAGAAGCTGAATCCCAGAGAGTTTAAGCAATTTTTCCTAGGGATAGTTATTTTAAAAAAGTAGAAACTAACTGATTAATATATTTCAATGGCCTTTTTTTTTTTTTTTAAGTTTTTTGTTCCCCACATTGGGTGCATGCACTCATGAGAGAGAGAGACAGACATAGAGCAGGAAAGTGAGAAGTCATCCCCCAAGGGGAGGGCCATGCCATAATCCCTTCTTCTCCATACTCCTCTTGGGATTTTGGACACACACACACACACACACACACACCAAACATGATTTTCAAGCTGCCAGGTTCCTGATTCGAATTGTCATCGGCCACGTGAGAGTCTAGCACCTTAACCATTATGCCACTGTTGGCCCCAGCATTCCTTCTTAAATGATGGTCCAGTTAAAAAGATATTCTTGGGGCCAGCAGTTAGCATAGTGGCTATGTTGCTGGACTCCCGTGTAGTCTACCGTGGCTTGCGTCCTGGACCTGGTTGCTTAAAACTCATGCCAGGCACGTGTGCGTGTGTGCCTGAGATCCCGAGAGGAGAATGGAGGAGAAGGGATTGCGGTGTGGCCATCCTCCCTGGGGGTTGATTTCTCGCTTTCTGTCTCTCTGTCTCTCTGTCTGTCTGGTCAGCGCACTCCCTCTGTGGCAAAAAACCTCTCAAATAAAAAAAAAAGTTATTCTTATCATAACCAAGATAAATGAAGAGTAAATTATAATCCCTCAGTGCCAACAGAGATCACTTAACCGAGTGTACCTTCCCCATAAGAGAGCAGCCGCCTTTTACTCACATGCCACAACCCCTGCTTCGCCAACTTTTCTATTACAGACTGCCACACTTCTGCTGGGAATCCACTACTGAAAAGATGATCAAAGCAGGGCAAGAAACTCTGTAAAACAATGGAGTCACCTGAAAGGAAGACCCACAGTTTAGACATTTTAACAGGAAAGTCTAGAACATTTGAGAAAACGTCCTCTGACTAAGACCACACATAGACAAATGGTAAGTTAAAGATATCAGAAAGAAAGGCATTTTCGAATGGGGACCAATTGTTAGCGTAATGGCTATGTCACTGAACTCCCATGCAGTCAACCGCGGTTCAAGTCCCGGACCCAGTGACTTAAACTCATGCCAGACACATGTGCGTGCGTGCCCAAGATCCCAAGAGGAGAATGGAGAAGGGATTGCAGTGTGGCCATCCACCCGGGAGGGGTGATTTCTCACTTTCTGTCTCTCTGTTTCTCTCTGTCTGTCTGGCAAGCGCACGCGCCCTATAGCAAAAACCTCTCCAAAAAAAAAAAAAGACAGGTGTTTTCAAAGACCCTTATAATTGAATGAAGTGACAATCATGTTAAGTTCATGCATAAAATTAATCCCCTAAGCATTAGGCAGTTATATTCACTTCACTTCCCCGTTTGCCAAGCCCAGGGACAAGTGCGTCTATTTAATCCTTCAAATAAACCTCAAAGGCAATACCTACTATCTCCATTTACAGAGGAGGAAATAAACACTTGAGAGAATTTTTAAAATTTACTTCCTTTAAGGAAAATATAACAAATGTTTTTGTAACCCAACAGATTAAAAACAATGACAAATGAAGAGAGATTTCATGGCTCATCACATAGCTAGTTCATGACAAAAAACAAGACTGAAACCCAGATCTACCCAACTCTTAGTCAACGCACATTCTTCTAAACTAGTGGCCCATTAACCTTCTGCATCTCATCATCCTCCAAAGAACATTTCTCAAAATCATGCATGAGACTGCCCAAGGGGGCATATCGAATGTCAGGATAACGCGTACCTCTTCAAAAAGATCAATTTCGAACAATAAAGTAAATATCAAAAATAAGAGACCACCAGATGGCATAATGGTAACATCACTGGACTCCCACATAGTCAACAGCGCTTAGAGTCCCGGACACGGTGGTTTGAAACTCATACCAGGCGCCTGTGTACATGGAGGAGAAGGGTTTGTGGTGTGGCCATCCCCCCAGGGGGTGATTTCTCACTTTCTAAATCTCTGTCTCTCCGGTGATCACATGCACCCTATAGCAAAAAATCTCTTATAGAAAAAATAGTAATAGGGACCAGCAGTTGGCAAAATGGCTATGTCGCTGGACTCCCATGTAGTAGGCCACGGTTCGAGTCCCAGACCCGGTGGCTTAAACTCATGCCAGGCGCCTGTGTACATGGAGGAGAAGGGTTTGTGGTGTGGCCATCCCCCCAGGGGGTGATTTCTCACTTTCTAAATCTCTGTCTCTCCGGTGATCACATGCACCCTATAGCAAAAACCTCTCCCGAAAAATAAACAAATAATTTAAAAACCATAATAATCAAAAACAATATACATTGTGTGAAAGGATACATTTTCATAAAAACATTTTTCAAAATTTAGAAACTGAGCCATAGGCATAGATTCATCCTCCCAAAAGTACCAAATGCATTGTCCTCATAAGTCCTGTTTACCGCTGCTTCCTCTCCATGGATGTGGTGGAAGGACAGAAAGAAACCACCCAGTCTATCTTAAGGGACGGTCACCAAGAGGCAGTTGTCAGAAGTTCCCATAACTCTGTCTTGGCTTCTTTTATGGAGGGGGGGAGAGGTTTTTTGCTATAGGGCGCATGCGCTCACCCGACAGACAGAGAGAGACAGAGAGACAGAAAGTGAGAAATCACCCCCCAGGGGGGATGGCCACGCCGCAAACCCTTCTCCTCCGTTCTCCTCTTGGGATCTTGGGCACGCACACACATGAGCCCGGCGTGAGTTTAAGCCACTGGGTCCGGGACTTGAACCACGGTCGACTACATGGGAGTCATGCGACATAGCTAATACGTTAACTGCTGGTCCCCTGTCTTGGCTTCTGAAAGAACAGTGATTTTTTTTTCTTTTTTCTTTTTTTAAATTTAAATTTATTTATTTACATTCATTCACTGTACATCATTATAGTATACAAAATAAGATTTTCCATCCAGAATATACTGTATATTGGCTCAATCAAGCACATCAACATTTGTTGCTATCGTCAACAAATAATTTCCTATTTCCTGTTTCCTGTATATTTTGCTTTTTATCCCATCCTTAATTCCCTATCTCTCACCCTCTGCCATCTCCCACCCTCCTCCCACACTATCTCTGGTATCCATGGTTGCTTTCTATGCCTTTTCCCCCCACATTTTATTGATTCACTAAAGATCTTTTTTTTTTTTTGGAGAGGTTTTTTTTTTTGCTATAGGGCACGTGCGCTCGCCAGAAAGACAGAGAGAGACAGAGAGACAGAAAGCGAGAAATCACCTTCCAGGGACAATGGCCACACTGCAATCCCTTCTCCTCCAGTCTCCTCTTGGGCACGCACACACACGTGCCCAGCGTGAGTTTAAACCACCGGGTCCGGGACGTGAACCGTGGTCAACTACATGGGAGTCCAGTGACATAGCCATTACACTAACTGCTGGTCCTGATTCACTAAAGATCTTAATTAATCTAAATATTTTCAATAGCAAGCACAGCTGATATATACATATCCATGAACACAAGTCTGACTTTAGGCATAAACCTCAGTGAGTAGAATGAACGCACTATAAAGTAGCACCTAGCTGGGGCTATATAGCTTACTGCAGTCATCACATAGGTATTTTTAATGCATTTTTTAATTTTGAGAAAAACAGTTTTCATGCTTTTTTCCCTGAAACATTTTTCTAAATTAATTAATTTACATTCATTCCCTAAGCATCATCACAGCATACAAAAAGTGATTTCCCATCCAGAATATACTGCACAGTGGCTTAATTATGCATGTTATTGTCAATAATTTTCCATTTCTAGTTTCATATATATATATATATATAAAACCCCTATTTCTGACCCTCTGCCCTTTCCCACCCTCTTCTCACACTATCTCTGGTGTCTACAG